GTTTACGTGTCAACTTAAATTTTTAAAATTCCTTACAAATACATCTTACTCTTTTCAATCTCAGTTATTTTTCAACTACATATTCAACACAGAACTAATTTCTAAATAAAGGGCTAAGAACAACAATTTGTAAAGTAAAACTAGGTCATCTAATCTAACTTGTACATAAAGTATGAGTGTGATTTACCAAAATTCAGGTTATTTCTATAATACTGAAAAACTTTGTCTCTTCTTCAAAGTCAGCAACCCCCCATGAGACTACCAAATTAGCAAAGAGGATCAAACAGATTTAAGCACTGCCCGACTTCTTCTGAAGTGATGCACTCTTTTATCCTAGAAAAGAAAAAAACATTGTTTACATTCTTGAGAACTCCTTATTTTTACTATAACTTAAGAGATCACTATTTTAAAGCATCTCTTGAAATTCCGTAAGTAATGGGGGGGAACCCCTCTTTTTTTCTGTCATTTTCTTTGGGGAAATATTCCTAAATTTCAGGATAATCAACGTACCATGGAAGCTAGTCTTAGTCAACATTTAATTTTAAAAAAAGAAATCTCAGTAGATACGGAAAAAGAGGAATTACAGAGTAAACATTATAGACATTATCAAGTTAATGATTTGGGCGGGATGTTACAAAGAATCATCAGTGGAAAATATACACAATTTTAAAAAATACTATTTTTACTAAGTGAAGTGCATCTGGTAAAAAAGACAATTTTGGAATAGCGCATTTAAGTCAGAAATTGAATGCTTTTTAAGTGAAAAGATCTTGGTTCATATAAAAGAACTGGTTTTTCCTTAACCTGTAATAGAATGACTTTCTAAGTAGAGAAATAGAAAAATGACATGCAAACTTTCATTTTATACCTGGAGATGTCCAGGTAGAAGGACAGAAGTGAGAAATGGGGTTGTGTAATCCAGCAGAAGTGCATTATTTGCTGATTTACACACATTTAGCACAATTATGCAATTTTCTAAAGAATTACATTTGGCTTTATTATGAAGAAGGGTGACTTCATAAAAGGCATTATCCTATTTAGGATAAACAGTCACAAACAAGTATCTTAAAAAAATCTCAAGAGTATAAAGAGGCTCGACAAGGGAGATACTTTACAATGGAAGCAGTGTAAAAGCAGTCTCAATGATTCCAAGATTAATTAAAAGAACACATTTTTTTGTCAATCAAACAGATCTGGAAGCCATACATGGACTGGTAAACATTCTTCAGTTCTTTCCGTGCTAAAGTGTCCTATCTATGAAGAGTGAAGTAGTAACTAAATGTCAATGTTAAATGACTATTTGCGTCCCATTGCAAAGATGCTAAAAATTCAGCTGTGCTACAGCTGCCAGTACTCTTCCACATGATAGGAGGTCCTTAGTATACCCCTGACAAAGGCTTTTCAAGCGTCATCCTATGTCCATTCACAGATGGAAAAAGCTATTTTGTGTCTCCTGTTTAAGACACAAAGCAATAATTAAAAATTCTCTTTAAATGTAAAACGGTGCAGCTGCTTTTTGCACAAAAGTCTGGCAGTTCCTCAAAGATTAAATACAGAGCTACTATTTAATTCATCAATTCCATTCTTAGGTATATATCCTGATAAATTAAAACCTATGTCCACACAAAACTTTGTCTTGAATGTTCACAGTGGTATTATTAAAAAAATAAAAGTGACACCAACCCAAGTGTTTATCAACTTATAAAAAGAAAAGATTATGCCCATTTAAAAAAAGGAATTAAGTACTGATGTATGCTAAAACAAAGAAACATGTGATCAAAGAACAGTCAAGAAAGATCACAGTCACTTGTTGAAGAGGCTGGCATTTCCCCGTATGATAGGCTGGATCTCCTTCTTGAGTATCTGTTGGCCACAGATAGATAGATAGATGGGCCCATTTCTGGGTTCTCAATTCTATTCCACTGGTTTATGTGCCTGGGATGTTTTGGTTACTACTGCTGTGTAGCAGCAGGTTTTGAGGCCACGGAGTGCTATGCTTGACATTTCATTTTGTTTTTCAAAAGTGATTTGCTTATTTAGGGTCTCTTTCCACTCCAAATAAACTTGACAATTTCCCTTTTGATTTCCTTGAAAGATGAATTTGATATGTGTAGTGGGACTGTGTTGAACATGTAGGCTGCTGCTTTTGGTAAGACTGTCATTTTCACAAAATTGAGTCTTTCTATCAATAAACAAGGAACATTTTTCCATTTCTTTAGGGCTTTTATTGTGTCCCGCAGAAATGTTCTATAGTTTTCTTGGTCCAGGTCTTCTGTGTCTCTAGTTAGGCTCAATCTCAAGTATCTCAGTTTGTGACTGGTTATTATAAATGGTATTGCTTTCTTGGTTTCCTTCACAATTTCGAGACATTATCTTTGTTCCTGGAAAGTAATCTCACTGATTTTCGGATGCTGATCTTATATCCCTGGCACTCTACTAAATTGGCCTATCAGCTCTAACAGGTTTTTTGTTGAGTCTTTGGGGTTTTCTGTGTATATTATCATATTATCTGCATACAGAGATAGTTTAACCATCTCTTTGCCAATATGACTGCCTTTTATTTCCTTCTCTTGTTGTACTGCCCTAGCAAGCACTTCCAATACAAAACTGAACAGAAGTGGTATTAGACAGGTATTAGTGGCCATCCTTCTCTGGTCCCTGTTTGTAAGGAAAATGCTTTCAGTCTTTCTCCATTGAGAATCATGTAGACTCTTGGTTTTGCATATATACTTTTCACTATGTTGAGGAAATTCCCTTCTATTACAATTTTGCTAAGTGTCTTTATCAGAAAGGGGTGTTGGGTTTTGTCAAATGCCTTTTCTGCATCAATTGCTAAGATCATAAGGTTCTCGTTATTTGTTTTGTTAATGTGAATTACAATGATTGTCTTATGTTGAACCATCCTTGCATACCTGTTACGAATCCTACTTGGTAATGATAAATTATTTTTTTTTATGTGCTTTTGGATTCTATTGGGTAAAATTTTGGACTGATATCTATAGAAAGCTGAAACAGGATCCACATCTCACACCATACACAAAATTAACTCAGGGTGGATCAGACCTGAGAGTAAAGCTTCAAAACCAGAAAGCTCATCAGAGACTATCTGGCATCAAGCTTAGACAGTCTAGTCTATATGGTATAGAGTGCCAAATACTGGCAGAAAGGAACAACTTGGAGAGGATAAAAATTGATGAATAGGACCTTCTCAAGAGTAAATCCCTGTGCATGTTAAAACGTATTCCAACAGAGTGAAAACAAAACCTACTGACCGGGGGGAAAAAAACCCCACTTGGCAATACTATTTCAGACAAGGGTCTCTTATCAAAAGTTTATAGAATCCTACAGGGCTTCCACAAGGAAAAGACAACATAATTACAATGTGGGTAAAAGACATGGGAAGAATTTTCACAGAGGCTGGTAGACATATGAAGAAATGCTCAAAATCACTAAGCAATAAGACACCCAAGCTGAAACCACCTCACTACAGTAGCAGAAGAAAAATTTAACAGGACAGCAAGTAATAAATGTCGGAGAGGATGTGGTGAGATAGGAACTCTCGTACAATGTTGGTGGGATTGTAAAACTGTACAACCATTATGGAAGGCAGTTTGGCGTTTCTTCAACAAGCTTAATATAGAAATTCCCTGTGTCCCAGCTATTCCACTGCTTGGAATAAATCCTGAGAAAATAAGAACTAAGGCACAAATGGAGATCGTATACCAATGTTCACAGCAGCGTTATTCACCATTGTAAGAACAGGGAAAACAGCCCAAATGTCCAACCACAATCAAATGGATTGAGAAATGATGGTACATTCACATGATGGAATACTATGAAGTAGAAGCAAAACACTACCTAACTTGGAAGGAACTGGAGAGCATTATGCTAAGTGAACTAATCCAGTCCCATAAAGACAAATATTATATATAAAAAGACCATTATTGCAGGACATGTATGAGAATCCAAGGTGTGGGAGGGAGCAGAAAGGTGAGGATTGGGGGGACATGTTACTCAAGGGTCACACAATTGATGGGGGGCAAGGAAATGAGCAATGTCGGGTGTTAAAAACAGTGTATATGAACTTTCCAAGTAAACCAATATAAAATAAAAATTTTACTTAATAAAATGTCTAAAATAGAAAAATCCAGAGACAGAAATATGTTTCATAGCGACCTAGAGGGTAAATAGAGGAGCCTATTAATGGATAGAGAATTCTTTAAAAGCGATGAAAATTCTAAAAGCAACTCCGGTGACAGCTGCACAATTCTGTAAATGGACTAAAGAATCACTGACTTGTACACTTTAAAAGAATAAACCTATGAATATCTCAAAACAGATGCTACTAAATACACCCAACTGATCCTTAATAAAATCCTTTCCCTTATATGGTGGCTTAACAGTAAGGAACTGCACTCCAAATGCAAAGGCAATCTCCTCCCAAGCAATTTACTGCCTCTGAAAACGCACTGGAGAGTCAGCTATGGGTTGGATCCAATCTGATGGTACACAACTACTACTCTAAGCAGGAAGTTAGGTATTTTTTCCCCCATATTCACTTAGTTAACTCAGCAATTATAGACTTGTAAAAACTAGGCCTTAGTAAGATTTAAATAATATTTCCAAAGGAGTAGAATCAAGAGAAGATCACACTTCAACAACTCTGAAAAAACCTCCATTTCTTTCCAGTTATTGCTTCTCTTTACCCGTTCTCTCTCCAAATTGCTTACATTATGCAATTCAACTGCTTCACTTATTTTGTTCTTCTCTTCTCTGGTGGCACGGTCCACGGGGAGTTGCCCTGCGAAAGCAAAAGCAGGGCCTCTCTGGCGGTTGTAGAACCCATCTGATGCTCCATGGGACAAAGATGGGCAATCTCCTCCCACATAATTTACCACCTTGGAAACCCAATGCAGAGTTAACTATGGGTCAGTTCCAACTTATTATTTTGATTCTCAATCTAGAATTTTTCCTTAACTGTTAGGGAAAATTTCCATTTTCTTTTACCCCTCTTCTTTCACAGTCTTTCAAGTCTAAGTTTCTATTAAAGGTTTCTTCTCTTAGGACAAAACTCCACTGTATTAAAGATTGAGGAGTCTAAAATACACTGTTACATTAAACCCACTCAATGATTTACTGAAAAAATACTAATTTGGTCTAGTCAATTCTAACTCCCTAGCAAACCTCCATGAAGCTTCTGAAGCTATAGATCATTATGGGAGAAAACGTCTCCTTTTTCTCCTGAGGAGTTGCTGGTGGATTCAAACTGCTGATCTTTAGGTTTAGCAGTACAACACTTAACACATTATGTCACCAGAGTTTAATGATTCACTAGATGAATCATGTATCAACTGTTCAATTAAAAGCTCTTTGTAATCTCAGACTTTAGATACAATTAAAAAAAGATGCTTCCAATCTGACAAATGTATTTTTCCAAGTATGCTATTTTTTTTTTTAATACCTTAAAGTAGTCATCTTGGGTAACAAGGGCATTTCTCAGTCGGCTCTCTGGATTACACAGACAAGATATCACCGTCTGAATGCTCCGGTCCACTGACTTCTGAAACATAAAAGTTTTCAGTAATCTGACTCTTCCTACTCCCTCTTTTCACTCCAGGCTAAGCCTAGAGGTAGGAGGTATTGGTGAGCAAATACATTTATTTCAAAAGAATTCCTATGTAATCAATAAGTCTTACCACAGTATGTAAGTTTTCTGCCAAATTAAAGCATTATTTTAGAAAATTAAGGATGGCATATTGGTTTAAAACAGCTACTTTTTATGAGAAAGCATAGGTATTTTTCATAAGGCTCATTCATTTCTCCTGTTAAATAAAAAACTGAACTTCAATGTTTCAAGAAGCAATATTCAGAGCAAAACTTGATTATACTGTAAGCTATATTTGATTTTATATATAATTTTTTCAAAGTTTTAATCGTGTATCAAATGAGGAATATTTTTTTTTTCCACCATGGTTGAGTAGTTACCACACATGGGTGAAGTGGTAAGAAGCTGAACTGCAATCCTGAAGGCACATGATTTGAATCCACCAGCTGCTCTGCTAGAGAAAGATGGACAATATCCTCCCTTTTGACTAACTGCTTCTGAAAACCTGCTGGAGAGTTAGCTATGGGTAGGTTCTGACCTGATGGTACACAACAATGGAAATTAAATGTTTTGCATATTCTCAGCATACTTTTTAATTCAAAAGATTAACCATATCCAAAACCTCTTAAGGAAACAAGGAAATGCTAAGGGTGACATCATTAGCATAGGAAACTGCTCTAAAAAACGAAGACTAAGCTCTGCTAACTTGAGCCTTTAAATTAAGAGTGGCTTGGGAATCCCTGCTCCACGTTTTAGTGAGCATATCCTAAGTTCCTACAGAACTGCAGATTACTATTTAGCTACAACACTTAAACTGGCAAAAATATCACACAAAATACATCCAAATTTCTCTTTTAAAAAACAAAATTCTTGGGGAAACACTCTCCGTATATGCTGCCAAATCATGCTGACCAATATTTATTACATTATTTTCCAAAAATAACAATGAAAACCTAAGAGAAAGGATTACTAAGCATGAAACTTCAACGTAAACACAAATGTTTTACTTTTTTTTGGTACTTGAAATTTGTTTGTATTTACATTAATCAAATTCTTCTATCATTACTTAAAAAGTTCTGTAATGCTTTTAACCTTCCTAAATATATTTGGGTAGAGCAAATTTCTTTGCAAAATGTTATTATTAAACCTTAAAATATTTATTAAAATATTTTAAATAAACAAAATGACATGCTTGCCTTTTGTGGGCCACTGCCAGTGGATGGGGCAGCTTCATGAACTGAACACTCACTTGGCAGAGTATCAACTCCTGGATCGACTTCATTACAGTGGTAGTTAACAGCTGCGTAAGACTGTATTTTAAATGATAGAAGCATAATTAAAGAGATATAAAAATACACTTCTAAGCAATTTTTCTTTAAAACAGTGGTCTGTTACTGAATGTTTAACTGAATCATGTTTAAATAATTCAGAGACAATGAAATAAAATCATACTTCTACTCTGAAATTCTCTTCTAAACTTCAACATGGAGGAGAAAAAGAAATTCCAATAAACAGTAAGAAATGTCAGGGAATTTTCACACTTCTGTATCTTTCAAATATTTAATCCTAACAAAATACAGAAAACTATTTCAGGGGTCCTAGAGGTAACACCTTCTTTTATTCTTTTTTCTTACTTAACATTGACAGCAACACCATTTCTTGGTTTCTTTATATAACATTTTTTTTTACAGGTAGCAAAACCAGAGGCAAATTCAATATTCATGCTAAGTATTAGCAAGACTTCTCTTGTATTTGATATTCTATTAACAAGTGACTGAGAAACATACTAAAAGTTGAATAATTGTATGCAGACTAGTCATTGCTTAAGTACACAAAAACAACCTGAGAAGCAAAAGCACAGTTCCTCCCAAGGGTAAATAATGTTAGTAAGACACTGATAGAACATTATATACTGTAAAAATCCCATTTAAAAATCATTCTTGGCATAGATAGCAAGACAAAAGGTCATGAAACATTAAAATTAATCCAGAAAATACTTCCTAATAAAGAACAGGAGACACATGTTAAAGTTAAATCACTTTACCGGTGGTATAACATAGCTTCTTTGTTCCCCCGTAGGCCACTGTGGTGGCATCTTAAAACAAACAAACAAAAAAAACCAAAGAATTATTTAAATATTCCCCTACATTTTATCAAAGATCTGAGATACAGAAATGTTCAGGTATTTGCCATGCTGGCTTCTTGAACTTTTAATAAAACAAATGAAGTAGTGCTTTAATGTTCCTAGTAGCTGAGATTCCTAATGTTATCTTCACATATACTCAGAACTCAGAATCACGACTGTCATAATCAGACTGTCTCATAGCTAGCCCTCCAGTAGGTTTTCAACTTTAAGGAAACTCCTCCTCGTTCTTCTGGTAAGATCACTAGTAGATTCAAACCACCACAGGCACCATCTTTGAGCCAGCAGCACAACATCCTATGGAACTATGCCACCAGAGCATTTTTCACAGACACCCTACCTTCTTCTCAAATTTCTGGGATTGGACGTTCACAAGGACCAACAGTAAGAGTTTTCTCAATTTCTTTCTTTTTTTTTTTTAAATTTCTTAATATAAATGCAGTCATAGTTCATAGATATGAAAATCTATGAACATCTATAGTTCAAATCTATGGAAAGAAACTCAGTAACTAAAATACTGTTAAATATAATTGGAATTTAACAGTACTCATTTTATCTCAACCTTTCAAAAATTTTTTGTACATTAGCTTGGATATTATAGCTCATTGGACAGCAAAGATGAAAGAATGTAATTTGGCATACAGAAAAAATAAAACCCACTACCACTGAGGTGTTCTGACTCAGAGATCTTCCATCAGGCTGTCTTGAAAGAAGTGCAGGCGCCCTCTTAAACTAGGCAAGGCTGGCCTTCCAATGCCATCTAACAACTGTGGGCATGTTGTCAAGAGGGGCCTTGTCATGGTTGGAACAGGAGAGGGTCAAATGAAGGAGAGGACTCTCAAAGAGATGGACTAAGAGAGTGACTGTCAGAATGAGTTGAAGCCCAGCAGAGATTGTGAGGATGGTGTAGGATTGGGCAGAGCTTTGATCTGCTGTACACAGAGCTGCTGAGAGTCGGAGATGACTTAATGCCACCTCTCGATAAATCTTCCCATCGTTCTCCTGTGGAACAGGACAAATATACTATTTCAACTGCTGACCTTAGGAATGAATAGTGCCAAAGTTAAGGCACTATTCCCTTAGAGCTCCTTGACGTAGAGTATGGGACAGAAAAATCTTAGAAAAACAGTTCCAGACCAAAGTTCTTGTGAAGTGTACTCCTATCAAAATTCCATGACTATATTTCTAAGTAATATAAACAGTCCTAATCCTAGACTGAGCTCTAGTGGCCTAACAGATACAGAATTGTGCTACCAACTCAAAGAAATGCAGTTTTAATCCTCCAGCTGCTCTGTGGGAGAAAGATGCAATCTCCTCCCAAGTGACAGTATAGTCTCAGACAATCTCTACAGGGTCAATTACGAGTTGCTTCCAACTTGACAGCAGTGAGTTTTAGCTTTATGAGTTTTAATTCTATTTTCTTCAATTTTAGGTACACTACACAAGTTTAAATTACATACTAGTTGGGGAAACTTTTATATGTGAATCAAAGGGTCCAATGATATTTCAAAGAAATTATTCTTTACTCTCTTTTAAATTACCTGATAATTATATACAGGCAGTTGATATCCAGTGATGACTTGAACTGGTGAACTTGGATAAGGAGGATATGCCTGAAAATGAAGTTTATAAATAACTAGGTAAACAAAAAAATCCCTAATATAAATAATATAAAAATTAAATATTACTAGTTATCCTTTTCTATACACAACAATAAAGGATTTTAATTAGGTAAGTCTGACTTCATAAAACATTCTCTGTCAAATGCTAGTCCTTTGAATGAGGAAAAGGAAGGGTAACTGCTGAGAGAAGTGGTTAATTTTACCATTTTAGAATTTTAAGTTGCTTTCTAAGCATCTAAAACTCTAACAATAAATAAGGATGACAAAGAAAGAATTGATGTTTTTCAGAAGAGTACTTACTGAATATGCCACAGTCTGCCAAGAGAACAAGCACATCTGTCTCAAAGTACAAGACATGCCTTCTCAGAGGCAAGGAGAGTGAAACTTCATCTCACATACTTGGAGCATGTTGTCATGAGAGGCCAGTCTTTGGAAAAAGACATGTGGGATCAGAGAAAGAGAGGAAGACCCTCTACAAGGTGGACTAACAGAGTGACTGTAACAATGGGCTCCAACATATGAGAGACGGTGAGTGAGGATGGCACAAGATAGAGCAAGGGGTCGCCATGTACTGGAACCTAGTAAGTTTTAAGTTTATATAACCTACATATTCATTTCCACCTAGTTCTTCCTCAACTTGTGCTCCATTAGGTCAAATTCCCACATTACATCTATATTAATTCATTTGCTGTTTCTTTGTAAAAAAACATGTTTAAGCAATCCTGAATCCCACTGACAATATTTTAAGTAAATATATAGACCTATATAGAACTCAGTAATAGGTTTGAGGCCTTGAATACCAATGAACAAAGACCAGATAAGCTGTGGGAAGATAATCAAGAATATCATTAATGAAGAATACAAAGTCATTATTAGGAAGGAAGAAGAAAAGACCAAAATGGACGTCAGAAGAGACTCTGAATATTGCATTGGAGCGTAGAGAAGCCAAAGCAAAGTGAAGAAATCAGTAAGTTCGAAGATTTCAAAGTGCTGCTTGTAAAGACAAGGCAAAGTATTATAATGGAATCTGCAAGGAGTTAGAATCAGAAAATCAAAAGGGCCAAACTCACTCAGCATTTCTTAAGCAGAAAGAACTAAATAAATTCAAGCCATGAGTTGTAATACTTAAGGATGCTATGGGCAGAATATTGAATGATGCAAGAAGCATTAAAAGCAGATGGAAGGAGTATACAGAGTCACTACCAGAATGAATTGGCTCACACAGAATTTCAAGAAACAACATATGAGCAAGAAGCAATGGTGATGAAGGAGAAAGTGCAAGCTGCTCTGAAGGACTTGGCAAAAAATAAAGTCCCAGGAATGGATGGAATACCAATTGACATATTTCAGCAAACAGATGCCACCCTGCATGTGCTCACCAAATTGTGCCAAGAAATCTGGAGGACAACTACATGGCCAACTGATTGAAAGAGATCCCTAATTACTCCCATTCCAAAAAAAAGATGACCTGACAGAGTGTGGAAATTACTGAACAGTATCACTAATATCACACACTAGCAAAATCCTCCTGAAGATGATCCAGAAAGACTTGAACAGTACATTTACTGAGAACTACCAGAAATACAGGGTGGGTTTAGAAGAGGTCATAGCACTAGGGACATTATTGCCAATGTAGACGGATCTTGGAAGAAAGCAGAGAGTACCTGAAGAATGTCTGTGTTTCATTGACTACGCAAAGGAATTTGACTGTGTGGATCACAATAGTGGCTAATGTTGAGGAAAATGGGAATCTCAGAACACCTGATTGTGCTTACACAAAATCTATACATGGACCAAGGAGCAGTCCTCAGAACGTATCAAGGAAGCACTGCATTGTTCAAAATCAGGAAAAAAGTGCATCAGTGATGCACCCTATCCTTTTCAATCTGTATGCAGAACAAATCATTTGAGAAACAGGTCTTTGAGGAGTGTGGCATAAAGAATTGAGGAAGACCCATTAACAACCTAGATATGTAGATAACACAACCTTGCTTGCTGAAATTGATTAAAACCTGAAACATGTGCTGCAAAAGGTCAAGGACTGTAGCCTTCATTCAATATGCACTGAAGCTCAACATCAAGATGACAAAGATTCTCACCACTGGGCCAATTGGCAGCACCATAGAGAAGAGACTGAAGTTGCTAGCAATTACAGTTTGCTTGGATCCACAATCAACGCTCCTAACACCAGTAGTCAGGAAATCAAAAGTCAAATTGCACAGGGAAAATCTGCTATTACGGACTTCTCCAGAGTGCTGAAGAGCAATGATATCAGTCTAGATACAAAGGTGTGCCTAATCCAGGCCATGGTCTTCTCAAGTACTTGTTATGCTTCAGACAGTTGGACAATGACTAAGGATGACAGAAGAATAGATGCCTTGGAGTTGTGGTGCTGGCCTGCCAAGAAAACAAATAGGGTCTGTCTTGGAGAGGGTGAAACAAAGTCTCTCCTTGGAGGCTAGGATTTTGAAGCTCTGCCTCACTTACTTTGGGCATGTGGTCAAGAGAGATCAGTCCTTGGAGAAGGACATCATACTCAGAAGGGTGGATGGACAGCACAGGAGAGGGAGCCCCCAGATGAGATGGATTGATACAGAAACTGTGGAGATGGGGGCTGGTGTGTCAGAATTAGCGAGACTGGTTCAGGACAGGGAAGGGTTCAGAGCTGCTGAACACAGGGTCACTATACATCACAGGTGACTCAACGGCACATAACAACAACAACAACAACAACATATTATGACAAGTTTGGAAGCAGGAGTGGTATCCACTTCCTAAATAACATGCCTCCAGAAACTCCATGAACTTTGATAAATGTTGACAGTTGTAGAGGGGCTTCAGGCCTTTTGTTCATAGGGATGCTATGAGTCATGCTCGACTTGAAGGCAATCAACAACAACATGGACCCAAAGACATTTTGGCCCTACTGTGATGGTTCTGAAAATAAGTACGATCAGAGGTTGTTATAGCAAGAGTGGGAGAAAAATGTGGGCAAAATTAAAAATAATGGACAAGGCTTACTTCTCTAAAAGGGACTAGTGGAGCCTCCAACACTATGGCCTTTGTTGTTATGAGGTGCCGTCAAGTCGTGTATGACTCACAGCGATCCTACGAACAGCTGACCTGAATCCTCTTCATCATCTCTATAGCCTTTGTTGTTGTGTACCCCAGTCAGAACTGACCCACAGCTGACCCTCTGCAGGTTTTCAGAGGCAGTTAATCACACGAGAGGAGACTGCTCTTCCCTCTCCAGCAGGGGAGCTGTGGCCTCCAATTGTGTGCACAGCTTCTTGACACTAGGCCACCAGAAGTCTACAGCTCTTAGAAATCTTTAAAGTCTGGAAAGAAATTTACTCCTATGACTCAATTTTCAATGAAACCACAGGTCCTGAGCTGAAGACACATGATAACAATATATAAGGAAGTACCTGGAGAAAATTCTAAATAACAAACAGCTTAAATAACTGCTAAGTATGTAGAACAAAGGCATATAAACAGGAAAGTTATTTTCAAGTATTTCAGTTAAATTTTTTCCTTCAAAAAAATTAGTTCTTTGTAGCAACAGAGACAAAGGCATACAAGTTGTATCAAAGCAGATTTTAAAGAACTTTAAGAATGAGAGATATTTTCCCCCCCAAAGTAAGATTTTTCTGTAATTTATACATTCATACAGGGACTGGATTAGCATTTAAATTTAGGGAAATGGTGAATAGAATTCCACAGAAGACAAGAAGCGAGACTGATTGACTTCCTAAGGTGCCTTCCAGCTTTGAGATCTCTAGAACTAAAACACACAGGCCAAAAATGTAGGTAACTCTTACCTGAACATATTGAGTTATAGGATTCATCACAGCTGGAGGTGGCATGTAAGTCTCAGTGTTTTGACTACTCCAAACACTCTGAAACTGTGGTGGTGGTGGAGGATTAAAAACCAAAGGACGTGGCTGCACATGATAAGCACCTTTTAAAAAGACAAAGTCTCTTTAGCTCTTTAAAAAGCAATACTTATGTCAATAAGAGTTTCTTCCTTTACGCAAATAATTTTTTTTTAACGTACATAAATTTTGCTTCCTGATTGCAGGGCCCAGTTTCAGCTTTTTACCATGGAAATTTATCTGTGACTGAAAAGAAAACAGCAACAAAATTGGAGTAAATTTTAAGCCTTTACTACCCAATCTTAGGTAAAACACCACTTTTACATATATTGTTTCTCTCACAAATATGTGTTGTAAATCCCAGCCCTTTAGGTGTAATTCCATTCAGGAATGGGGTCTTCTTAAATTATATGGTCATAGCCTTACACATTGTTATTTTAATCCAACCACCTTCACAATACAAAAGAGGCACTTAAGATAGGAGCTCTGATGGTATAATCTCCTTTTGTGCAGTTACAGCCTCTAGGGGGTCAGCTGTGGGCTGTTTCAGATTCTACAGCAATGAGTGAGAATGAGAAGTACACAAGTAAGGGTTGTTGTTGTTATGTGCCGTCAAGTCGCCTGTGACTCATGGTGACCCTAGGGGAAGATATAGTCCATAAGAAGATCTTGAAGGAATACGAAAAGATGTTTAGAAAAGTTGAGACAAGGAATAAAGGGGGGGGGAGAAGCAGCTTACCCCTAGTTGTTGTTTTTTTAGGTGCCAAACAAGAGTACTGAATTTTAGCAACTCCATCAACAATAGATCTAAATCTGCTGCATCTAATCTCTTCCATGTTCAAACCCATTGTTGCAATGTCAGTACATCTCACTGAAGATCTGTTCTTTCACTGACTTTTTCAAGTATATCTTTTTCCAAGAACCAGTTAATCTTGCTAAGACATTAAAGTATGAGAGATTAAGTCTTATCATCCCTGCCTGTAAGGGGCACCCTTGTTGTGCTTCCTCAAAGACAGATTTGTTTATTCTTTGACAGTTCATGTTGTCACGCTGGAACCAAACTAAACCACAGCTGACCCTCCAGCAGGATTTTAGAGGCTGTAAACTGCACAAGAGAAGACTGCCCATCATTCTCCTGTGGAGGAGCTGGTAGATCAGAACTGCACACCTTTGCTCTGGCAACACAATTCCTTACTACTAAACCACCAAAACTCTCTTTGGCAGTCCATATCCTCCGCCAATACCACAATTCAAAGGCAACAATCGTTCAGTCTTCCTTATTCACTGTCTTAACTTTCAGATGCAAAGAAACACCATCACTTGGGTCAAATGCACCTTAAGCTTTAAACTGACATGCTTGCTTTCTTGATAGCAGATCTGCCCAATAATTCCCTTACAGTCAGCCCTATATTTGGATTCTTAGCCTCCTCATCAGTGAGAAAATAGTTTCATTAAAGTCAGTAACCTGTGGTATACCTATTATAGTGGCACCAAGACTATGACAATTACACGTATTCTAAGGTTTCTATTACAGAAGGTCAATGGTGAAAACACAGCAAATAAAAATTTGTCCCAATAAAGCTACTTCTGTAAGTCTATTTCAAGTCCAATGGAGTGCAATTTTTTTAAAAAAATCATTTCACCTTGTCTTCATAGTCTTCTGTCCATCAAGTTAGGGGTACAGCCAAAATAAAATACGTTCTGACAAGTTATGCTAAGATTCTGTAAGAACAGATTTTAACCAGAAGTTTTTCCTTTTCTGTTTATTTTATTTAATGCTGATACAGATGGCACTCAAGTAATACTCTGCATCAACAAGCTACAAAAGAGAAGATTTTTCCCATGAGACAATTACTTACATCTACTATCTTCTGCACATCCACATCATTATAAAATGAGACAAATCCATAGCTAGAAAGGCAGATAAAAGAGTATAAAATCACCATCATAAAAAGTACATTAAGAACTAGTGTCCCATTAATAGTAGACAGAACTGGTACCAATAAAGGCCTAAAAAAATACTGTTAAGATTGACACAACAAATCATTTGTAAACATCATTGTTTTTGCCCTCACCTTAATCAATGTCAAAATGACATTAGTAGAGAATTCTTATCTAAAACTCCAAATTTATTATCTATAGGAAGATGATTACAATTTAAGATAGATACTATGCCACTTGTGGAGAAAAGTTATTTGATAAAACTAATTATGCTAAATAAATGAAAAGGGATTTTACTTAAATACAAGCACTAGCAAAATTATTAAACGATGTAACAGCCAATATTTATTCTCTACATGAAAAAGATTAACAAAGCAGCAAACTTTAATGTAAGAATACCAGTTTTTGAAAGCTCCTCTGCTACTTTAGATATGCTAAAACAATGTTGAGGTATAGTCAATTTCAATTGGTAACAACTCCATCTATGTTAAAAAATAACTGCAATCCACAAGATTTCCAAAGGCTTTTTAGTGTTTTCAGAGAACGTCCAGGCTGTTCTTTTCCAAGGCACCTCTGGATTAGCAGCTGAATGCATGAACTATTCACACCACACAGGGACATTATCAATTCTAGGAATTACATCTGCACTGAAGGCATATTTTACTCACCCTTTGGACACACCAGTTCTATCCGTGATTATTTTCACTTCTTTTACAGAACCGTATCTAGCAAAGAAACTTCTAATCTCAGTTTCATCCATCTATGAAGAAGAATTTTATTTAGAGATAAAATTTAGCATCCAAACTTTTGCATTTCCCCCCAAAAGTTTCTTGATAAAAAATATCCTCTAAATATTCTGAAACGATCTTTTGCTATCTGTCAAGCCATTTCTAGTTCCTGTGGATTAATCATAAAATTAAATGCAAACTAGCATGAAGTACAAAACCCGTTAGATTTGTAAAATGATAAAAATCCCATTATTCCCAATACACATTAAAATAAAAACAAAATATTAATACTATACCCTAACATCAATTCCACCAACAAAAACAGTGTTTGGCATTATTTTTCCTTCTGGTAAAACATAGCCTTGGCTGGTTGTGACTGATGAGGACTGAGTGCTGGCCTCTCTGGAGATTGTTGAGTTCTGAGTCTCAGAATTTGCAGCAGACTGTAATGTGGAAAGGAAACATCAAAACCACATAAATAAAGGGGAAAGAATATACTATGCAAAACAGAATTTTATATTTAAAATAGAAATTATTTTTATGTATATAATTATAAACTTGGAGGCAAGAGTGGCATCCACTTCCTAAACAACATGCCTCTAGAAACTATGAACTTTAACAAATGATGAAAGTTATAGAAAGGCTTCAGGCCTATTGTTCATCAGGTTGCTATGAGCTGTGCCTGACTTGACTGCCCCAGCAACTGTATCAGATGATCTCATCCAGGGTCTTCTTTCCTGCACTGTCCCTCCAGACCTTCCAAGCATGATGTCCTACTCCAAAGACTGGTCTCTCCTGGCCATGTGCTCAAAGTATACGAGATGGGGTTAAGTGTCTTGGAGTCAGTGAGACTGGCTCAGGACAGGGCAGGCTTCAGAGTTGTTTTATGAATAACACCATGTCAGTCCTACTGATAATGCAATTTTTACAGTGTCCTGATAGATAGTGGTGCTGTGTGCCATAAGTTACTTGAAACGTTTCCCCCTTTTACGTCTTAACTTTGTTTTAAACTTAAAACAATAAAATAGTAAACTGCCTATCTTTATCTGAGAACTTGACTCCCTTTTCCCACATGCAATTCACCAATTTCTCAACTGGCTCATTAAAAATAAAAAAAAAATAAAATAACCAAGTAAAATAGTTCTGCAATTCTCACACTTTACCCCCATCCTTCTAAACTTATTCTTGCATTTATGGATAGACACTTATACCTCAACTGATAAGTTATAGTATTACCTGCTAGTATACTAAGTAAAACATTTGGTTTAAAAATTCTATTAAAAAGAAAAGGAGTTTTAACTTATTCTGTCCCATAGACATGTGGTAATGTTTAGGACATTTTTGGTTCTAACAACTAAGGAGTTGTTAGAGATACATTGCACAGATGAAGAAAAAAAAGTATTATTTGTCAAAAATGTCAGTAGAGTCCAAAAATCCTCTAATAGTGCCACCAGAATGGAAAAGAAAAATTATTCATTAAAGACCTGTTTTTCACAGTTCAATGTTTCCAGCATTTCTTTCTTTGACTGAAAAAACAAGTTAATAGCAAAAATCTGAGAGCCTTGTAATTTTAATATTTTATTTACAAAGACAAAATGTGTGCCTGAGTAAATGAAACAGTAATTAGGGAAAAACGGGGCAGGGGGGATACTATTAAAGGCAGCATGGCTTTAGTTTTTAAATTGGCTGCCTGCTTATCGGAGATATTAAACACAAAATTCATCAAATAACTTCACCAATATGAAATTTTCTTAAGATGAAACTCAAATTCATTGGCATCAAGTCAGAACAGATTTATAGCTGACCCTCTGGTGGTTTTTCAGAGGCTATAAATCTTAAGGGAAGGGAGTGTTCATCTTTCTCTTGTGGAGCAGCTAAGAGATTCAAATCCTGTCTTTTTTAAAATTGCTCTTTTAGACTGATTTACAAAGTTTGAATACATTGTTTTCCACACCAGCTCTTTCCCATTTTTTCCACTACCCTCCCCCTCCACCCATCAAATTCTTTATCCACCAGACAGCATCACACACTCTAAGATTCGGTTTAATCATCAGCCAGCAGATGGTGCTCAAAGCTAACACACTAAGCAAACTACACACAATCCTGGGGTTTACAAACCAGGTTCTTACCTGTGTTTTATTTTGTATTTGCACACTATTCTTATTTAGTCTCACTTCACTGCAAGAAAAGGCTCTGAGACTTTTCAAGAACTTAAAAGACTCACACACAGAGTGAGCAAATGAAGGTGCCTGTGAAGTTTTGTCATCCATTTCATTAAAATAGGGCTTTAAAGACAGTAGTACCCCACTCAAAATTGGTGACTAGACTGCATTCTTGGGATGTATGTGGCTCTCCACTATGGTGACAAATAATACAGTCTCTCACATTCAGATCCTGAAAGATCTGACTACACTTCTGAGTTTGCCATTTTAGAGTTCTAACTCATCATTTCCCACATCTGGTTATCACTAAAATGTAAAAATTGAGATATGTTCCTATTCTACTTCCCTGGTCATGAAAGAATCAATTTGAAGTTCAGCATTACAATGTTAATAGGAGTTGTCCAAAAGTCAAACATTTGTCACCTAATTCATCTAATCAGTATGAACAGCAGTGTTTGGGGAAAAAAATATTTAAACTCAAACTGTATGTATTTGTATGTAACTTTAATTTATACATAATCCACTTACAACAATCTCTAGTTAAACTGGCCAAAAATGTTTTCTAAATGAATTATTCCTTTAATGTCATTGAGTTTATATTATATTATAGTGACATTATGGTCAACAGATCTGAACCCTGTCTTATCCTGTGCCATCCTTACAATCTATGACATACTTGAATCCATTGCTGCAGTCACTGTGCCAATTCATCTGGTTGGTGGTCTTCCTCTTTAACAATCTTTCACCTTCCCAAGCATAATGTCCTTCTGCAAGGAATAGTTTCTCCTATCAATGTGCCTTAAGTATGAGAGAGAAAGCTTTGCTATCTTTGCTTCCAATGAAAATTCTGGTGTACTTTCTCCAAGACCTGTCTGTTCTTTTGGCAGTCTGTGGGATATTCACTACTCTTATCCAACATCAACTCTCCTTTGATCATTCTTATTCATGGTTCAGCTCTCAGATGCATATCAAGTGGTCAAAAAGACCATGGCCTGAAACAGGTGTACATTAGTACTAAACTGATGTCACTGTTCAATAATTTGGAGAGGTCCCTAGCTGTAGACTTTGCCAGTGCAGTATGTTTTCTGGTCTCCTGACTGCTGGTACCAAGGGTGTTGATTGTAGATCCAAGTGAGATGAGGCTTATCTATCATGATGTTGCTATAGGTCCAGTGGTGAGAATTTGTTTTCTTAACATTGAGATGCAGTTAGTTCATACAGAAGACTGTATTTGATCATTTGTAGCAAGCGTTTCAAGTCCTCTAAGCAAGTAAGGTTATGTACACAACAGGTCTTTGATGAGTCTTGCTCTGACATCAAATTCTTTTTCATAGAGTTCAGCTTCTCAAATAATTTGCTCAGTATGCAGGCTCTATCAGTATGAAGAAAAGATAGAATCCTGATGCATACCTTTCCTAATTTTAAACCATGCAGTGTTCCTTTGCTCTGTTCACACAACAGCCTCTTTAGGTATAGGTTTGGCAGGAGCACATAAGTGTATTCTGGGATTCCCCCTCTTCTCAATATTCACCATAATCAGGTATGATCCACCCAGGTAAATGCTTTTGCATAGCAAATAAAGCACAAATAAGACTTTTTCCCCCCCGAGTCTTGAAGCTTTCAGCCAAGATCCATCAGCAATGACATCCCTGGTGCCACAGCCTCTTCTAAATCCAGCTTGCACTTCTGGTAGGTCTCTATGATCTTGCTGTTTTTGAATGAGCTTCAGCAGTCTTTTGCTTGCATGTGGCAATCTGTTGATCACCCTTAGTGAGAATGGGAACAAATATGTATCTCTTCCAATCAGCTGGCCAGACAATTGTCCTCAAAACTTCCTGGTATAGACTGATGAGTCTGTCCAGGGTTGTTATGTTTTATTTGAAACATGCCAAGTAGTTTCCCAGAGATCCATGGGGCCTTATTTCCTTCAATGCAGCTTCAACTTCTTCCTTTATTACTAATGGCTCTTGATTATATAATATTCCCTAAAGTTTCAGTGCAAGTTAAAACGGAGAAATGAAGAAAATTAAAAGAAGTCCCTAAGAACCAAAATATGAGCTTTAGTCTTCCACCTGAATTTAAAAGTAATTTTAAGAATAGATTTGACACGGTGAACACCAGTGATCAAAGACCAGATGAACTGTGCAATAACAAACGATATCACATAAGGAGAGAGCAAAAGGAAGAGAGGAAAAACCGTAACTGCTGTCAGAAGAGATCCTGAAAATTGCACTGGCAAGCTGAGAACCCCAAACAAAGGGAAGAGATGCTGAACAGATTTCAAAGGGCAGCTGGAGAAGAAAAGTTATAATGGAATGTGACAATAAAGATAAAGAACTCTCTCAGCATTTCACAAGCTGAAAAAAACTATAAAACAAAGCCATGTATTGCAATACTAAGAGATGCTATGGGCAAAATCTTGAATGACCCAGGAATTATTAAAAAACCACAGAGAGAATACACAGAATCACTATACCAAAAAGAAATTTGAAATTGTTAAAGACTGTAATAAAAGCTTTTAAAAAATGAAGAAAACATTAATCTCCAGCATAAACTGGAAACTCAAACTTGTTGTCATCAAGTTGATTCCAACACTTAGTGACCCTACAGGACAGAATTGACTGGTCCTGTAGGATTTTCACGACTACAAAGCCTTACAGAAATAGACAGTCCTATCTTTCTCTTGCGGGTTTTTACTGCCAAGCTTTCATTCAGCAGTCATGCACTTTAAATACTGTGCTTGTAGTTACTTTAACCATCAAACTAAAAACAAAAACAAAACCCCACAACTCACTGCCATCAAAATGGAACCAACTCACAGGTAACCCTTCCAGGTTGGTTTTCAGAGGCTATGAATTGCAGTGGAGGAGACTGATCATCTTATTCCTGCACAGCAGCTGGTGGGGAGGCACCCCCTTTGGGAGAGCAGCACAACTCCTTACAGACTATGCAAAAATACACCTAATGCAAGGGATAATTATTTCGTATAACGATACCTTTTGTCAAGTAACATGGCGAGTTCTGAAATGAGAACTACTGGAATATTATTTAAGTAGTAAGTTTGGAGACCAACATATCCATACACAACTCTCATTACCTGCAATAATAAATATTCCATTATTTTTGGATAACCAAATGACAGAATTAAGTAAAAGGTGAAAGTTTTTATCATTATTTAGACACACAATCTCTAGGGGCCACTTCTTTTGTCAATATTATTCTTTGACTCTTTGACTCTACAAACATGCAAAATTAGCAAAGCTAATACACTTCTGTT